CATAACTTCTATATCATTCAGTATCCTCATCGATGAGTTATTTTCGTCTAGGTGGTAGAACTTAGAAGTCAAAATAAAGCAGCTTTCACTACTACTCATGCTCACTACTCCTCCAATATTCTGCCAACGCCCACAACACCATTTGAGGAAGTACCGACACAAATCTAAGAGGTGAGCAACTGTTAGAATTCATCTTTCAAACAAACCTTAATATACTAAATGTAGGGAATACACCAACATTTGTTACTAGGGTCAGACAGGAAGTGTTAGACATAACACTTTGTAGTCCAAATATTGACCAAAGGATCAGGAATTGGAGAGTCTCCAATGAACCCTCTCTCTCTGATCATAGAATCATAATGTTTGACGTAAAATGAGTGCAGGAATGAATTACCTTGTATAGAAACCCCAGAAATACGACCTGGGAAAAATACACAGCCAAACTGCAATGCAACCTCGAACAAAATCATTTTAGCTGCAAGAATATACATGAAGTAGAAGAAACTCTTCAGATTCTTAACGGAGCAATCATGAAAGCATACGAATCCAGCTGTTCCGACAACACGACTTAAATCGGAGGTTTATTGGCTTTCCAACAAAGCCAAACGAGACGGAGAATGGCAGGGCTACACCGAAAGGCTGACTGAGTACAACAGAGAAATTAGGAAAGGCAAGCGACAAAACTTCACAGACTTCTGTGAATCTATCACAGAAACACAATCAGCAGCCAGATTATTTAAAGGCAAGGCGCAAGGACCATTGACACTCAAGAAACCGCTCAAAGCCGCTCATCTTCCAAACTTTTTCTTTTCCAGCTTTCCTATAAATATCAACTACAGATCTAGAGATGGAACACATAAATTCAATTGCAGGATAACCCTAAAGAAAAGCTCGAAACTAAATTTGGAAGCGAGACAAGACAGACAAGCCAATCCAAAGATGGATGTTAACAGAATGAAGAAGGTAGAGGAAGAAACTATTCAAAGATAGTCGGAGCAAGTACCGGCAATACTTATATACCGCCTCCCTTTTTCCTTTCCTTGGTCTTCTTATTATTAATCATTATTTCTTTCTCCTTCGTCCTCATTTTCTCTTTATCTACTTAACTGAATCTAACTCAGAAGTAATAACTTGTTGAGAACCTACAGTCTTGTAACTTGTAGGTCTATGCTTGTAGCGAGTAAAATCCTCGAGAGTTTTTTTAAACAGTAACAACACCCTTTGATTTGTGATTTAATACTTAACGAAGGGAAAAAAATCGACCAAGAAGTAAAGACACTTAAAGGAAATTGGACATCATGGAGTTCGAATTATGGATGCGTGAGGAAGCATTTTGAGTCCCAGGAAGTTTGGAATTATTCAGAGAAGTATGAGAAATTATTGGAAAAAATCTGAAGAGCTTCAAATGAAGTCCGAGGATGATGGATCGACCACCTTAAACTAACTTCAAGATCACACTGGAGACAAGTTGTTCAAAATGGATGAACAACAGACAGAGAAGAGACGTTATAGAGATCGTTATCCCTATTTCTATGGCACTTGCTGTCTTATTAATTCTCTCTTTTACAAATCAATAGAGAGGGAACGTCAATAGGGATAGAGAAAATATCTCTATTCGTTACAGAGTCCCAGCCCAGACGGTAGTACGTGGAGTCTAGTGGTTGATGACCGCCTAAATGTACTGACCGATCAGGGCTTCACCTGCTTTAGATATACGGCGATGATATTTGTCATCATGGTCAGAGGCAAATACGAAGAAATACTCTGCGACCTTATAGAAAAAGGACTTTGAACCACGAAGGAATGGTGTCAGACATTGACTGATTCGTCCTCCGCGTCCTACCTTTCGGATTTTGCACATCTGTTGCCCACCAACTATCCAGCTAGCCACAACTACCCCCCAGAGTCCTGCGAAAGGCACAAAGTTTTTAGACTTGGTTGGGCAAGCTCTTCTTCTGGGTACTCATGTTAGCCGGGTTCCCCCAGCAACGTTTGCCGAGTCACCGTTCGCTCCCATTTTCATGGGTAGCTACCACATCTAGGTTGATACACGCTTGTACCTTTCGACCACGGTCCGCGAACCCTGGAATCAGCACAGCGGCGAGCATTTTTACCGGCACCGGAATAAGATCGACTCGGCGCCGTAGTTTCTTGTGTTAAAAGGGGTCACTAGGTGAGTTCCTTTTCCCTTGACAAGATCCGGGATCGGGGTTTTCCCCTACTAGCTTTCGGAACACCCCAGTCATCCATTGCCCAGATACCTGGGATAGGGTAGACGTTTAGGGGTCCTTCGCCCATGCCAACTAGTGAAACTATGGGTATTACTCAGGTTATACCTTTAACTCCGGACGAGTCGCGGTTCGAAGTACCGCCCATCCCCGGAAAGCTGGACTCAGCAAACTTTCAGCCAGATTTACTGGAATCGTTCGCTGAGTTCCCTGCTTTTTGCGAAGGACAAATAATACCGCTGCCATCTTTCTGGAAAAAGGCTCAGGAATTTTACCCAAAATTCTGGGATCGTTCGAGAGTACCTCCCTCCTTCCCCTATCGTGAGATGGTAAACACGATAGTTCGGTGGAGGTTAACAAAATTGCACCAGCGAACCAGCCATCGAAATGTGGGTAGGGACAGTGGGAATCTCGTTAATTCATGGTGTCAGACAGTGGGGCTGAATCCAAACTCCAGCAAAAACCACATTGGTAATACTTACAAAAAGAACGAAACTCCTAAACCTGAGAAACATTCGCCATGATGGTAGCAGACTTGATTGGAAAAAAGAAGCCAAGTTCCTAGGAATAACCCTAGATTCTAAACTTCTCTGGAACCGAGATGTAGAGATAACAAAGCAATATCGACACTCACGGTCTGCAAAAACATCGCAGGTAAAACATGGGGTTGTAACCCATCAATTCTAAGATGGTACCATGATAGTGAGACCTCCGGAGTGGTAGCCTGGTATAGCCGAACCCAGCTAGGAAAACCCAAGGAAAAGTGCAGACTCGCGTGTTCCTGTATAACAGGAGCAATGAGATCATGCCCAACCGCGCGGTACTAGAAGTCATACTAGACCTCACACCACTCCACATAATAGTGAAGCGGGTTACCAGTGGATCATATCTCAGACTGAAGCAGATAGGTCTACAAAGGAAAAGGCACCTTGGCAGAACTTTTCCTCTCCCAAAGTGTGCACACCTCATGGATCTACTTACTAAAAGACGTGATTGTTGATAAATTCAGTTTCGAGAAAAAATTTCCATGGAACAAAGTACCACAAACAGATGGAACATGGAATCTATCCAATCCCTTAGAGCAAACACCATTAAATGGTACACACACGGTTCCAAAACTGCTAAGAGAAATGAAGCCGGAGTATTCGGGCCACGGACCAGATACTCAGAGCTGATGGGGCAATCACCAAGCATATTTCAAGCGAAACTTCATGAGATCGGAAGGTGCGTACAGTTCAATTTGAACAGAAGTTATCGGAAACGAGAGATTGTAATAGGTAATGTCTGACAGCCAAGCAGCTATCAAAGCAGTGAAATCCCCGCTCATCAATTCTAAGACAGTATGGGAATGTCTACAGTAACTGAATGAGCTGAAGAAAACAAAGTAAAGTAACCCTCCTCTGGGTTCCCGAACACATAGGTGTCGAGGGCAACGAATGCGCAGACAGAATCGTAAAAACAGGAGCGTCTACTCCCTTCACTCGGCCAGAACCATTTTGCGTCGTCGGAAATGCGCACCTCAGAGAAATTCTCAAAAAAAAAGAGAACGGGCTAAGGAACAAACACTGGCTAGAATAGAGATGACTACGACAGGCCAAAGATATATTGGGCATCTTCAACCAAAAAAGATCAGAACTGCTGGTCAACGTTGGCAAGAAAAGTCTTAAGACTCTAACCGGGTTCCTCTCGGGACATTGCAGACTTAAGAAACACCTACAGAAGTTGTGGTTAGAAGAAGAAGAAGGTGGCACCTGTAGATTCTATGAAGACGAGACACCTCACCATCTTCTACTGAACTGCGATGCCATTAGTCGCTCAAGGATGAAGAACCTGGGAACTGCCCTTATACAGTTTGAAGACATTCCAGCCCTGGAACCGCTAGATATCCTAAAATTCCTAAAGGACCTAGGCTGCTTTGAACAGGAAACCCGAACTTAGCAGCAGAAGAAGGAGTACAATAGATAAACCTTGGTCGCTGTGCAACTGACACCTCCAACACACATAAACATACATACATACATACATACACGTCATAATACTCCAATTAATTACTGTTCGCGCAACTTCCTCATCGTTCAAAGTCAATTGTATTAGATCACTGAAAATAAATCTAAAAATCCATTCTCGTTGTCAAAACCACACTGACCGACCCTAAAAGAAAAAAGAAGAAGGACCTCTCCTCTCCGGGGTCCTGATGAAAACAGACATTAGCGAGATCAAAGTTGCCGCAGCGTCCAGGCCGACTTTTCATTTTCGTTAAATGTCCTCACGCCCACCTCTCATATCGTTTCTTCTTCTTTCTTCGATCTTCTCTTCGAATGTTTTGGTGTCGACCGGGGCACACTCGGAATGCCTGAATTTATGGTATTTATACGTGACGTTATGACTGGAGCCGGGGACAATGTCAGAACCATTATAGGGTACCCCTGAATATAAACGCTTTTTGTTGATGATGATAGGACTTTTGAGCAGAGGTATATGGATTTTTAATGAGCTAAATCTTTTCAGAAGTTGATGTACTTTCAACCTCATAACTCGAACTTGGAACATATGTAATTACTCACAGAAAACGCTGCATAACAAATTTTATTAACTCATTATAATAATAAGCAAAAGCCGCACTGGCCAAAAGATTCACATTGTATTCATCAGCCGGTACTCGTCCCTGTCCGCCTTAAGGCCCCCTTTTTACTCTTCTTATTTTCTTCGCCGTCGAGTATTTAAAGCACTTTTTAATGAGCTCCAGTTTGAAAAATTAAAAAATTGTTTCAGGTCAGGGCAGAGTGAACCAGCTCGGCGGAGTTTTCATCAACGGTAGACCGCTACCCAATCACATCCGTTTGAAAATCGTCGAAATGGCCAGCGCTGGGGTGAGACCTTGTGTCATTTCCAGACAGCTGAGAGTTTCACACGGTTGCGTTTCCAAGATTTTGAATCGGTACCAAGAAACTGGGAGTGTGAGACCTGGAGTTATTGGTGGTTCCAAGCCACGAGTGGCTACTGTTGAAGTTGAATCGAGAATTGAACAGTTGAAGAAGGAGCAACCTGGGATATTTTCTTGGGAGATTAGAGATCGACTTGTTAAGGTATTTATAGATTTGTCGTTTAGTACCTAAGTCTTATGTAAGGGCCAGAAGCAGGATTGTTTTTCTCATTAGGTGTTCTTTTACAGGAAGGTATATGCGATAAAAATTCAGCACCTTCAGTCAGTTCCATAAGCAGATTGTTGAGGGGTGGTAGAAAAGACGATCCCGAAAGAAAAAATCATTCTATCGATGGAATTCTTGGTAAGTCAAAAGAATTTTTTCACCCGACATAAATCAATTTGCGGCGTGACATCAGAACGACAAATAGTAATTTAATTTTTTTAAAGCTCCATTTTCCTTTTACAGTTGTTTCGCCGCCATTTAAGTTTGTTTGTTTTCTGTTTTGGAATCAATCAACGGGTCGGGTCGTAAAAAAGCTTTAATTCTCACGCCTCGGACCTTTATCGGTTTCTGTAGCTTTTGGGAAGATGTTTTTTTTTTTTTTTAATTTTAATAGTTTTACTCTCTGTACTTTATATTCAAGTTGAATTACATTAAAATATACAAGGTTATAACAGGAGGTTCTCAACTTATTAAAAACCAGAATCCTGGTTCAATAATCCGTTCTATTTGCTGTGTTGTGATCTTGACGGATACCTAACTACTGTATAAAAAAAAACACGACAAAAGTGACAAAAACTCGATAAAAACCGCCAGAGTTATCTAGCGTTAAAATCAGAAATGGTAAGGTAATCAGGACCTCACAAGATGCCGACAATGACTAGCCGAATCGGCGTTACATTCAGAAGATAATGACGGATCATTTTATTTATTAACACGATTTAATGTAGTGATTGATTTTCATTATCATCGATTTTAACAGCTACCGGCGGTTAATATCTGAGGCTCTTGAAATATTTCAGGTATTAAAGCTATCAGCGAGGTGTTAGAACAGAAGTTTAATTCTGCACCACTCAAGGAAATTACATTATCGAAGCGATTCGTTTACGAAGTAAATTGTAGTAAAGATAAAATAGTGTTTAGTTTTTTTAGATAGTGTTTATTTACGTTTTTTACCATTATCAAATTAAAATATAATAAGGTATATTCCAAACAGGGTTGGCAAAAACCCAAAATTTCCATATAGATAGTTTTTGTATGATTTTTGTGTTTATGTAGCTAGACAATAGTATATTACATACCGAGGTGGGAAGTGTTTCATTACTAAGCGTCGAAGTTAACTATAATATCGAGACAGGAATGAAACTTCCTACCGAGGTTTGTATACTATTTTATTTACAACAATTACAACCCTCATAATTTCGACTAAATACTAAAAAAAATTTTAAAAATTTGTTGACAAGTTCTGACTCATCTAAAAAAACGTTTGACATTCAGGACTCGTCTTAAACATTTTAGGAAATGAGAACTTACTTTCCACCCGGGTGGAAAGTGAGCACTTTCCACCCGGGACCATTTTCCACCCGGGTGGAAAGTGAAATTCAAAAAAGTGTCGCTTTCAAACTTTTGAAAAGTCAGAAGTGTCAACATTACGTATGCGGTTGTAAATAAAATTGTATATTTGTTTCAACAGTTTTGCACCTGAGAAGCTTCAAAATTGAATTTATCGAACATTGAAAATTTTCAAAAAATGACACTGAAGCAGTTTTTGTCTCACAGGTCCTCTAATTTTCATTCAATTACAATGCAGTTGGGCTCTAATTAAATTCTCTACAAACCTATCAATTAAGATTTCAATTTGGTTTCAACAGTTTTGCAGCTGAGAAGGTTCAAAATTGAATTTATCGAACATTGATAATTTGCCAAAAATGACACTGAGACAGTTTTTGCCTCACAGCTCCGTTGATTTTCATCCGATTTGAGTACAATTTTAGAACGTTGTTCGGTACTCCTAGTCGATTTATTTTGTTCTTGTTCTGGTTCCAGTGTTAATAATTTTCAGTGTTCCAGGGCGTTCGGAAGACCCACTCCGAACCTGCTCTAGAGTCAAACCTGGTTCTTATTAAAACCCGTACCTAATTGTAGCAAAGCGTTTCACTTCTGCCCATCCTTCTTGTTTACTTTTATATTTCAGGTTGTGCTGCTATAGGTCCGTAGAAGTTTCCTGCTTTCGTTATATCGGTTAACTTCGTGTACTGCAGGGAAAAGCAGGTGGCGCTCTATATTTAATTATTTAATTGATCCACACCCCTCTTCGCATTGGAAGCTAGTCGGCAACCCTTCACACGAAGTTCCGTTTCTAAATTTAAGCCACCGACCAACCCTCTCTTTTAATTTTTTTTTTGTTTTAGTTACCCATTCACTGTCTCACTTCCTCAAATTTTATTATTTACTTTCCAATCGCGTTTTTCGGATAATAGAATAAAACCATCTTTCGTAGGGGCTGCATTTCTCAACATGTGAAGGAATTTGCTGGATACTGGGTGCACTTTGATCCACCTCTCCACCACACGTTCGTCTTTTCAAAGCTCAAACCATCTAGGAGGACCAGTAGTCGACATCTTCCTCAATTATAAAAACGTGATCGAACGATGAGCTCTTGGAGAGGGTAGTCAACACCATATCAGCATCGTCTTCTTCTTCTGTTTGATGTACCTCGATACCATGCCTTGCAAATTCCGTACGCATCATAATGATTAGATGAGAGTTTGTTGAATTCGATTGAGACTAGTTTTTCTTTGGACACTTTGATGGGTGTGGATTTCAATAGAATAACTGCAGAGTAGCAGCAGCAGGAGCTAGACAAGTGCGGAATGTGGCAGCACGATGAACAACCACATATTTGCGCACCACTGGAGTAGCACAGCGTTTTCAGGGTTGCAAACTTGGGTATAAGCTACTTTCAGTGGTCCTAATAACATATAAAAAAATCGTAGGTACATGCGCGTTTGCGATGTTTACCCTTTTTGTGTCGATATTGACTGGCCTACGTTGAATTACTTGAATTATGATTTTCTGTTCACAAAATACAGGAGCCGATTAATAAATACTCACGACAAACGGTTTTGAGGAATAACTTTGATATTTCAAGCCCTATATGGTTGAAATTTCATATTTGATTCCTGGTAACGAATAGAGATATTATCTCTATATTGACGTCCCCTCTCTATTGATTTTGAAAAGAGAGAAGAAGACAGCAAGGGATAACAATGTCTATTCATTACAGAGTCCCAGGCCTGGTCGTTCATGCACATCGGCAAAAGTCTCGCTTTTTTAGAACAATCGTTTTTCGAATTTGATCTATATGTCGCTTGTAATTGATAATGAAGAACACCATACTTCTGTGTAATATTTCCAAATTTCCATGACATTTTATTATTTTCATAAAAACGAACTTGCACTCTATCTCCCGCGCCTAATTGACAGGGTGGAGGATATTGTTCTTGAATTTTCACATGATGCTGCATTGGTCGAATAGCGTCGCAAAGAGCCCAAGACTTGGTTTATTGTTCTTTGAAAAACCGCAGGAGCATTTACAAGTCCAAATGGCATTCGCAGGGACTCGTAGTATCCATCTGCTGTTACAAAGGCAGAATTGATTATTCATTCAATGGGATCTGAAGGCGAAGTTACACTAACAAAATGGCAAAGCATTTGAAATGTGAAGGTATAGACACATATGCTTAGAATAAGCTGGATCGACAGAATCACAAATGAAAAAGGTCTATTGAGAATGAACAAAGAAATCCTTAAGACAAGCAAGGGGAGAAAGATTGCACACTTTGGTCTTATTATGTAAATCCTGAAAATTATGGTGTTTTACAGCTCGCACTAGTAGGGAAAATGAAAAGTAAGAGAGGATCTAGGGGTAGGCGTAGCTTCATGGCTGATGACCCTGGGACAAGGATAAGGGATGTCAACACGAACACTTCTTAGAACATAAATTGCCAACATGATTACTAACATCCGGTAACGGATAGGGCGGATTGTAGATTGCATTAGGAGTCGTTACAGCTCGATCTAGCCGCTCAAGCACTGTTACCTTACCAGCTATTTTGTACGTGAAGTTTGATTCGAAAGGGTCGATTTGGGTACATTTCAGCTGGTGAAATGCCATCAGAAAGACGTGTTGTTCTATACTTTAGTAGAATTTCTTGAATTTTCCTTGTCATACTTGTAGGTTCATTAACCACAGCTTTCAATCGATTATTCAGGGTCTGAACATTACGCTCAGCAAGACCATCAATAGCTGGATGGCCCGGTGCGATAAGTTTTTGAAAAATTCCCGAGGGGCCAGAGTCATGGGAGCCCGAATGGCCGGAGTTATACGAGCCCGAAGGGCCGGAGTTATACGAGCTCGACAGGCCGGAGTTATTTTAATGACGAGCCCGAAGGGCCGAGGTTATACGAGCTGGAAGGGCCGGAGTCATGCGAGTTTGAAGGGCCGGAGTACAGGGCTACAGTACAACTTGAAAAAATTACTCACAAAAACTGTAGCATTATCGGATACCATAATTTTTGGAAATCCATGTGTTATCTTGTAAAGTTCAATCGTTTTCGTCGATGTTGGTGCATCCCTGAGTATTTTGACTTCTGCCCATCGTGATTTTGTTTCTATGACCACTAGAAAATTGAAACCTTGAAAAGGACCAGCATAGTCAATGGGTGGTATGAATAAAAATGAAGTACGTGCGCTACTACAAGTATTAGTATATTCTTCGCAGTATTTACTTCACAAAGAAGCATTTACTAATTTCCGGTGGTTTTGAAATGTAGCATCTACCTTGTTTTAGAGTAAATACTACGTAGAATCTACTAATACTTGTAGTAGTAGCAGGTACTTCGTTTTTAATCATATACCACCCAATATGTATACGATCCCAGTTTTGTTCAGCGGTAACTCCCAGTGGTGCAGTGCAATGGAGCTTTGGCTGGAGAGGATCGAATTAGGGCACATGCATCACATTATCTAACGAATGTTTCAATATCCCTATCGATTTTTTTCCAAAAAAAAACCTCCATTTGTGTGATTTTATTGTGAGTTCTATGCAGTTCTGCATAGTCTCATAGTTTAGTCGGTATAACAACTCTTCGTCCCTTGACAAGCACTCCATCTTCCAGTAGGTAACTAAATTCTGAAAATTGATTTGTCAATAAATCAGATTTTATTTTTGATAGGACTTTATCTTTCTCTGTCTCGTTTGGCGTCTGATGCCAGAGAGAGAGGCTTTTAAATTGAAAAGGTCTATTGTACAAATAGTGAGTGTGAATCTTTATCCAAAGCAATTGGTGAAACAACCGATATTGATGTGAGCTTTGAAGAGATATCGTCGTTGGCATAATCTCAAATCCAGAAAATCATTTGTGATACGGACATCCACCCTGAATGAACTTCAAAGTGAAGTTGTTGGTACCTACATCTACATATTTATTCAAGTTCTTTATCTGGTATTGGAATAATCAAAATAACCCCAAACCAAAAAAAAAGTCCAAACTAAAAACATATCATAATCATTTTGGCAAATTACCAATTCCCGGTACGTGACCCAAAAAAAGGAATTTCGTAATTCAAAAAAAATTATCCGCAATTTTATGTTAATTTCCAAAAACCGCCTCTCGGACACTCACAAATAACTACTATTAAACGGCGGATATGAAAATTTCATTGTTGCAATAATAATTGTTCTCCTTGCATCGCGGCAAACCTCTCATTTTTATTTTCAACCTAATAAAATGTATACGCAAATTTTTGAAGGGAGGCAATAACTTCCTCAAATTTATTTACCGTCAAAAGCTTTTACTTAAGTAATAAACACCGGTTTTTAAAGCTCAGCTAGGAAGCGCACACCTCTAATTTATTAATTATGTCGGATAGAAAATATAAATTAATTTAAACAGCATTTACATGGAGGCTCAAAGCATAATTTATTCTTTTCTTTCCAATTGTGGCGGTACCCTTTTTAAATCGATGAATAAAATGAAAAACTTCATCGGCCTAAAATGTATAATTATGAATTATTGTTACGCATAATTAACTAATTAACTTACACTTTTGACCCTTGTCCATATATAATTTAATTATTCAAGGAAAATTTCTATTTGTTGTTCCAGGTCCGACATCATCAGGCGAAGAATCCGACACCGATTTAGAACCAGGTATTCCATTGAAAAGGAAACAGCGCAGATCGCGTACAACTTTCACAGGCGAACAACTCGAAGCCTTAGAAAGGGCCTTCAGTAGAACCCAATACCCTGACGTCTACACCCGAGAAGAATTGGCTCAGAAAACCAAACTAACCGAAGCCAGGGTTCAGGTTTGGTTCTCAAACCGACGCGCCAGATTGAGAAAACAATTAAACTCGCAACAATTGAACGCTTTTAATACGATGTCGTTGCAATCTGCTTTTCCTACTGCTATTCAACATCAGTACGAGACTGCTGGAGCTTTTAATCAATCGGCTTGGAGTGCGCAACAAAGCTACAGGTAGGAATTCTGTGTAACTCAAATGTAGAATGATTTTTTTACAATGCAATTATTATTTTCTAGTGCTGCTTTGAGTTCGTCATTGTCCAACAACCCTGTTCTATCATCCACTTTACCTCACTCCCTTACTGCAACCACAAATACGTCATCATTGGGAGACGCTTCGAGTACTTCATCAAGCCCACCGAACACCCAAAACGCTTCATTGTATGGCAGCTACAACAGCAGCGCCACTCTGGAAACCAACCACCAGTTCGGCGCGTACAACATGCAAATGTCGCCGAATCAGCATTCAGCTTCGCCAGCTGCGCAGCAATCGTGGGCGCGACACGCTGCCGCTATGACGCAGCAGAACAACAAGGCGGTGGTCGAGAATTTGAGTAGCTGGCACGAGAATTATAGGTGAGTGAAATAAAATTAGCGGTGCGTGTGGTTATTAAATAATTAGTCGAGCGCGAAATTATTATTTATAAATAACCCAGGGCCAGTAGGTATGCGGATGAGAGAGAGGCGATATTCATTACAGGCAAGTGGGCCATTATTCATTGAGAGGGTATCAATTAGTATTATTGAACAGAGACGGATTTAGGTTGTAATTTTGTCGGAATTGTCGGTTGTCCAACCCAAACTTTAACTATTTAGTACAATGTGTAGAATTGTAACAAAAGATCTGTTATTGTCGATTGATGTAAAGTCGAGTATTAATAGTTAGAAATTGATCGTGAAATGTTTTTGTGACTTGTTTCAATACTTGAGCTTGTGTTTTTAAATCTTCATTGAGAGTCTTTTGATTATCATTGAGCGTCTGGATATAAGAATCATATCTTGCGCCGTCTTCAGCATCTAGGATTCCGTAGAGCCATTTTTGTACTGTGCCCATGAAATTTAATATACCTCTTGTTTCGTTTTCGGTCTTGATACTTAATACTTTTACCTGACACTCAACGCGTTACCAGCAACACCACTCCTCCTTCGGAGTCATGGTGTTGCTGCGTAACGCGTTCCGGGACAGGTAAAAGTATTATCCGGTAATCCTGAAACCTTTTGTGGTATTACATTCGATAATAGGTACTCTTATTCGAGTTTCGGAGTTTTGATTTCGTCATACATTCACGTAGCGTCGAATGGAATCTTTGGATTGGACTATTCGAGTTTGGATTTCTTGGAGTTTAATAATGAAACTCAATTTTGTACAAAGATCTGTCATTATAGCATTTTTGAACTATGCCCCATTGTCTGATGGGATTTTTTGAGGTATTCCATAATCACTAAAATATTTCAATACCGGTGATGATATAGCGATTGTCATTAGGTCTATAATACTCTTATTCGAGTTTTGGAGTTTTAAACTGGTTATACTTTCACGTAGTGTCGAATGAAATCTTCCAATTGGACTATTTGAGTTTGGATTTCTCGGAGTTTTATAATGAAACTCAGTTTTGTATAATGTACAAAGATCTGTCATTATAGCATTTTTGAACTCTGCTCTGCTCCATTATCTGATTTTTTGAGGAATTTTATGATCACTAATATATTTCAATAACTGTGATGATATAGCGATTGGCATTAGGTCAATAATACTCTTATTCGGGTTTTAAAGTTTTAAACTCGTTATACTTTCACGTAGTGTCGAATGGAATCTTTCAATTGGACTCTTCGAGTTCGGATTTCTTGGAGTTGTATAATGAAACTCAATTTTGTATAATGTACAAAGATCTGTCATTATAGCATTTTTGAACTCTGCTTCATTATCTGATGTGATTTTTTGAGGTATTCCATGTTCACAAAAATATTTCAATAACTGTGATGATATAGCGATTATCATTAGGTCAATAATTCTCTTATTCGGGTTTTGGAGTTTTAAACTCGTTATACTTTCACGTAGTGTCGAATGGAATCTTTCGATTGGACTATTCGAGTTCGGATTTCTTGGAGTTGTATAATGAAACTCAATTAGGTATAATGTACAAAGATCTGTCATTATAGCATTTTTAAACTCTGCTGAATTATCTGATGTGATTTTTTGAGGTATTCCATGATCACTAAAATATTTCAATAACTGTGATGATATCTTCACGTACTGGTTATAAGTGTACTAGTTAATAACAAAGCGCGCGAAGCGCGCTCGTTTTTCTCAATTTAACATTAACATACAAGGACTAGTATGCATTAAGTGGACGAGTTTGGGTTAGTTCGCATATTTTTGGTTAGTTTCGTTACAGTTCGTTTAATACTGATTATAAGTGTACTGGTGTACTTACAATTAGGAATTCAATAATAACAGATAGGGACTAGTACGCATTACGTGGACAAGTTAGTTCGGGTTAGTTTGCATATTTTTGGTTATTTTCGTTACAGTTTTTCATTACTAGTGTGTATTTTAGTGTACTAGTTTATAACAGAGCGCGCTTCGCGCGCTCGTTTTTCTAAATTAAATATGAACATACAATGACTAGCACGCATTACGTGGACAGGTTAATTTGGGTTAGTTTGCATATTTTTGGTTAGTTTCGTTACAGTTCGTTTAATGCTGGTTGTGAGTGTACTGGTTGACAACAAAGCGCGCTGATAGCGACCGATAGTGGGGAATTTTCGTAGTTTATTTTCGAAAGGTGGGCCAAATCGTCATTTTTTAATGGAAAATATGCATTTTTCGCATTCTATCTTTTTTGAGGATTCTCCTATTTCTATGGAAATTTCTTTCTTTTCTTGTCTTGGAGGTATTATTAGTTGGGATAATATCTTTATTTTAGCTCTTTGGAATGTTGCTGGTGCGTTCTTTAATCCAAAAGCCATTCTGTTTAATTCGTAATGGCCATTTTCAACATTAAATCCTGTTTTGGGTATCGAATTTTCTTGACTTGATGAAAGCCAGAGTTTAAATCTTGTGTCGTAAAATAATTACTACGACCAAGTGATAATAGGTAATGGATATCTATCATCAATAGTTTTTCCATTTATCCTTCGATAATCAATGACCATTCTCCATTTTTGTATGCCTGCGGCATCTTCTTTCTTAGGTACTATCCACACAGGGGATGATCAGGGACTACAGGATGGTCTGATGGTGTTATCCTCTAACATTTTCTTTATTTGAGAATTTACTTCTTTATACACATGAGGATATCTATAAGTTAAAAGACATGTATAAGTTTTTGTGTACACTGGTATTTCGTCTGTTGTTTTAATTTCATGTTTAACTTGATTGGTAAATATCAATTTTTCGTTGGGCTGGTAGAAAATTCTAGAAAAAGCCTTAAATAGGTGTTTTAGTGCCGGTACTTTTGCTCTCATTTGACAGCCGTTAAAAATAATCAGGGGTTAGAATGTGCTCCAACTACATCGTACTTATAGACCTTGGCCCATGCAAAACTTTGACAACGTATCAAATTCGTTAATCGAGAGCAAAAGTATCGGCCCTTAAAGCATCAAATTCCTCTGAGTTTAAATGATTAATACGTAGCGACTTTATAGGGCCATTTGCATATTCATCATTTTCTACTGAAGTCATTTGTTCTATATTAAATATCTCAAACTGCATAAGGTAAACTTATTTCCGCTAAGTTATTTATGTTATACGGGACAATAATAGGGTTATCCATTAAGTTTTGTACTTCTAAAGGCACCATTTCATTAATGACTGTTGCTATTGTCGAAGGAATATAATATGTTTAATTTTTTATCGGTGGTGTAATAATTCCAATGCCATCAGCTATATTTGTATTGAAATAACATAACTTGAATTAAGTTGCTTGGAATCTCAAAATTCTGATTTTCGAAATCTGTTCTATATTGAAACGGAATTGTTATTTTATTATTAGAGAGAAGCATATCGTGGCAATTGGTTGATCTGGTCAAACTATTATTAACTTTTGAGTACTTTTCGTAATTGTTTAACCCAAAACTTATTCTTGAATCGTAAATGTTCTATCATTGAAATGAAAATTCATCAGTGTTCGGTCCGGCCAATATACTCGCTACTACCACGGTACGCAATCATTGAAAATCGTGCTAAACAAAATTATACGGTACCATGGTAATGCCCGAACGTACCGCTCTTTACTTAGGGTCTAAAAACAGCTTCTCCGGCTACTGGAATGAATTATTATTTATTCGCCATTGATTAATTGCGGAGAGACCTTCGCGTAATAACCGGTCGATCTCTTTCTCTTCTGGTGGTGCCCATGGTGGGAAATTAGTATATTGCCTGTCAGAGTCTTCTTTTTTTACTTTGACCGGATCTTCTTTGGCATATATTATTTCGCTTGCGAATTAATAAAAATTTGACAGTCGAAGGTAAATTTATGAATGCATGAAAAAAAAAAGTAACACCCTATATCCCATAAACTATTTTACGTCATAAACAGCATAAGTTTATCGTAATTTATTTCTTCATGCGCAGAACGAAGGCTGACAAGCAAAACACTAACTACACATAACTTACGATTAATATATCCTAGCTTAACAATGGAGGTGCGTTTTCTTATTATATTCAATACACGGACCCGAGAGAGTTAATTTAAACCGTGCAAAGCCGCAGAAAATAACTTATTGCTTTTTCTCTGTTATCATGAACTGTTTAGTTATCCATACATTTGGTTTTTTTTAATTTCGTTTTCGTGTTTAATCATAAAATTTAGTAGTTTTCGTAGAAGGGATTTGTTACATTGTGTTTTTCTTTTGTTACAGCCTCTTCACCGGCGGAACCCATTACGGTGCCCATTCACCCGGCGAAGCCAAATCTGGTTATCCATATTTCGGTGCTATGGAAATGTGTTCCAGTAGAGTTCACTAAAATAATTATGCTTTCACACACTGCTTAATGTTGCAATAGTAATTTAGATAAATGTGATAGAAAATTGTTTGTATATTACTAGTGTGTTTAAACAAATTAAATTATATTGTGGATGGACAAACTAACGCCTACAAAACCGTTTAATAACCATACAGAAGTATAACATTTTACACGGTAAATAACATAGTAAAAACACAAAATGCTATTTACATGTAAGCTTTAATGACTCAATTTTGGATGGTGAAAATATAGATGTTAGTATGTGAGTTTTATGGCAGTCTAGAAATATAGGTTATATAATAATGGCTTTAAAGGAAGAAAACTATTATTTATTGATGTTAAAACATAAATTTACTTTACCTATGCATGTAGAGTGTAAATATTTTTTTTTTGTGAGTATATATTGTCATTATTTTCCTATAATTAAAATTGTTTTGCAATATACTTACCATAAAAAAAAAACATTAGTGTAATAGGATATCATATTGTATGTAATTATTATTTTGCCTATATGTGTATTTATAATAAATCAAATTATGAAATGTATATGTTTTGTTTTATGTTTATTTACACGTTTTACGGAATTTTTACAATCCCATATAAATTTCCTAATCCAAAAGCTTCTGGTGACGACGATTCATTCGAACACCCATAAAATGGTACTATGCAATCACATAAACCCTTTAAAGGTACCGCTTTACCGGAAAAATCTAATTAACGTCAGGGTAAAGTATACATTTATCAATATACACAGTGGTCAGCTTAAAAGGATAGGAAATAGGTAGGTAAAAAAACATGAGTAGATGTTTGTGATTCTTCCATTAGGTAAGGTAACAATGTTACAAAACAAACCTAATAAATGCACCAACAAAAAAAATAACACACAAAAAAAGTGGAACAAAATGTAGAAAAGTAAACACGATTATGCCCTGAACCAGTTTAATACAGAGAAGTAAAGATACACCTCATATACAGGGTGTATCAGGTTTGACTACAAAAATTTTAACACGTGAAAATATGGCCCACGAATATTTTAAAGGTAAAGAAAATTTTAATTATTATGAGATATAGAAAAATTTAGCTTATCCAATTATTATGTAATTATGCATTTTTAGTGAACAACTATAACAAAAAATTGAAAAAACAACTTACAAATTTCACTTGTAAAAGGGTATCTAAACATCTGGCAACACAGCACAATAAAGAATAGGTGGTTGAAGGTTGAACCTTGGTGGAGCTGAATAAATTGATTCTTGATTTGGTCTAGTTAGGAAACGCGCGTAATTCAAATTCATTTTTTTTTTTAATAAATTGTTTAGAAACATCGAGATACTTGTTTAGGCAGAAACGTTGCGAAATGCTCATTTAGCCGCCAAAATTTACAAGGAAACTAGGGAAAGATTTCCCAAAAGAAAAGCACCCACCTGATGAAAGAACATTGTGCCCGTTTTACAAAGATTGCGTGATACAGGAAGTGTGAGTACAAAATCTGCGTGTTGATTTTAGTGTTTTGAGAACTTTTTTACAACAATTAATATTTTCATAATAAGGATTTGACAAGTAGCTGAGTAAGTATTATTTGATTTTTCTCTTGAATGTTCAGTGCAAAAATGTCATTAAGTGCAATTTACGACTTAATAAAACGGCACATTTTCATTTTTACTAGAAAAGTGATAAAAATTCAAGTTATTACTTACATTGTTTGAAAGCCAATAATAAACCAAAACATAAACAGATGGAAATAAATAAACTCCGTGCAAAAAAAAAAAATTAAATTTACCAGTTTTATTTACATTTATATCCTGGCAGAGATAATACCTGTACAATGTTTGTCAGGTTGTTAACATTTTTCTTAATTTAAATTCTGCGATAACTCCGAAAATACTAATAACTGACCCATGGTTAATAGGACAGTTTTAGCTTGAAATGGGCCATATTATCTCATGTTGAAATATTTGTACTCATACCTGATACTCCCTGTATATTCCACAGGCTCTTGTGAATTTTGATTTTCATCTTAATTTCTCTAAATTCCATAAAATTTATACAAGGTGTCCGGAAATAAATGCAACAGAAACTTTCAAGATTGAATAATTAAATTACTTATGAAGGTTCCTGAAAAATACTTGGAGTCATTACAGTAACTTGAAACTTCCAGGATTTATTAATTAGAGTTTTTTCATGATACAAAACAAGTTGGAAGTTGATATGAAACTCACAACTAAAGTAACGGATTTTCTCATCCATTGATACCTGAGAAAATCATAAAATTCCTAAAAAATTCATTTATGAAGGTTCCTGAAAAATACTTGGAGTCATCACAGCAACTTGGAACGTTCAGGATTTATTAATTAGAGTTTTTTAATGATACAAAACAAGTTGGAAGTTGATATGAAACTCACAACCAAAGTTACGAATTTTTTTCATCCATTGATACCTGAGAAAATCATGAAATTCCTGTAAAATCACTTTTGAAGTTTCCTGAAAAATTATTTCAAGTCATTACAGCAACTTGAAAATTCCAGGATTTATTGATTAGAGTTTTTTCATGATACCAAATCAAGTTGGAAGTTGATATGAAACTCACAATCGACGTTACGAATTTTTTACCCATTAATACCTGAGAAAATCATAAAATTCCTGTAAAATTATTTATGAAGGTTCCTGATTAATATGTTATGTTTTTGGCAGTGTCCTCCCTGACGTTTCACTATAGAAATTTACGGGTTCGAGAAGTAAATAGGAGTGCATGGGTCAGAAACGAAGATTGGGTTAATTACAAAAGTGTACAGAGTTTCGGTTAGTTTGTATTTTGTATTTCGACTTTTTGTATTTTCGACATTTTGTTATTTCGATCTTTTGTATTTTCGGCTTTTTGTATTTTCGACGTTTTGTATTTTCGACGTTCTGTATTTTCGACGTTTTATTGTTCAACCTTTTGTTATTCCACCTTTTGATATTCGACCTTTTGTTATTCGACCTTTTCTCATTCGATCTTTTGTATTTTCGACGTTTTGTTTTAGATCTTTTTGTATTTTGACCCAATGTTTTCGACCTTTTTTCCGGGACTCTTTTTTATGATACAAAACAAGTTGAATGTTGATATGAAACTCACAGCCAAAGTTACGAACTTTTTCACTCATTGATACCTGAGAAAATCATAAAATTCCTGTAAAATCACTTTTGAAGGTTCCTGAAGAATACTTTATGTCATCACAGCAGTTTGAAACTTCCAGGATTTATTGATTAGAGTTTTTTAATGATATAAAACAAGTTGGAAGTTGATATGAAACTCACGACGAAAGTTACGGATTTTTTCACTCAATAATACCTGAGAAAATCATAAAATTTCTGTAGAATCACTTTTGAAGGTTCTAAAAAATACTTTGAGTCATCACAGCAACTTGAAACTTCCAGGATTAATTAATTAGAGTTTTTTTCATAATATAAAGCAGCTTGAAAGTTGACATGGAACTCTCTACCAAAGTTACAGATTTTTTTACCCATTGATACCTGAGAAAATCATCAAATTCCTGTAAAATTACTTATGAAGGTTCCTGAAAAATACTTTGTCATCACAGCAGCTCAAAGCTTCCAAGATTGGAAGTTGATATGAAGCTCACAATCGAAGTTACGGACTTTTTTACTTATTGATACCTGAGATAATCATGAAATTCCTGTGAAATCACTTTTTAAGGATCCTGAAAAATAGTTCGAATCATCACAGCAACCTGAAACTTCCAGGATTTATTAATTAGAGTTTTTTCTTGATACAAAAGAAGTTGGAAGTTGATATGAAGCTCACAATCGAAGTTACGGATTTTTTTACTTATTGATACCTGAGAAAATCATAAAATTCCTGTAACATTACTTATGAAAAGCTATCACAATGGTTTGAAACTTTGAAGATTTAATAATTAGAGTTTTTTCATGATACAAAACAAGTTGAAAGTTGATATGAAACTCACAACCAAAGTTACGGAGTAAACACAAACCCTATAGAGATTGGTAGAGGAATACGCCAGGGAGATACGATGTTTTTAAACTGTTTATCACCGTCCTGGAATATAATGTTTAAAAATCTAGACTGGGACAAAAAAAGCATAAAAAGAGACGGCCAAAATTTATCAAACTTACAGTTTGCTGACGGCATCGTCTTACTAGCTGACAACCTGGAAGATATTAGGGTGATGCTACAGGAATTTCAAGAAGTTTGTGTAACAGTTGATCTGAAAATTAATCGGAAAAACAAAATGTATGACAAACCTCGGTCCTAGCAACAGCCTAATTCTTGAAAACTCCGAGGTAGAACTGGTGGACAAATACCTATACATATCTGCGCCACGAGATAAGTATATCCAAAGCCAACCAAACATGCGAGATACACAGAAGAATTATACTCTCCTTTCTAACCAATGTATTCTATGGGTTATGGCCTGCGGCACGGAAACCCTAATCCTTATCAACGCTTCTGCTAAAAAACTAAAGATAACACAGCGCAAAATGGAGAGGTCGATGCTTGGGGTCTCGCTACATGATCACATTAGGAATGAAGAACTACGCAGAAGAAAAGACGGGCCAGCTCCAATGCCATAATGGAAAGGTGAGATCTTTTGGAATTCTCTATGATAATTTTGTTAAGGAGATGATCAGGCAGCGGCACTCAACTTCTTGGTGGATGTTCATTTTAGATGAAAAGCTATTGGGTGATGACATTAATGAATATTTGGTTTGATTGGTACCACAGCAAGGCAAATGGACTGATCTCATTCCAATTACCTACTTTGAAGAGCAAAAGTAACAGAATTACGAGACTATTATTCCATTTCTCTGGTATTTCTGATCTTTTTACCCGTATGTTGAAATAGTCTCTTCAGTGTTGATAGGATAAACTCTCCTCGATCTTCCAGTATATTCACTACATCTTTCCCAAGTGATTTTTTGTAAATCGCCTTCTCGATCTTAAATTCTTTGATATTTGGTATGTTTTTAGATTCGAGAATTCCTATTTTTCGCTGTTTTGGATCTCCACATCCGGACTGTGCTTCGCGTTGTAAGTCACCATAAGAAACCATTTTTTTCTTACAAATTTTTTTCTGGTATAGATTATTCTCTCCTATAACTTTTTCTGCCTATATATTCCTGCTTCCAAAAGTTGCTACTTTTCATCTAGGATATACTATACACCAAACCTAACCTAAAATGGATTGCGCGGCTGTTTACTTTCGACCAAAATAGGTAGTAATTATGCACCAAAATCAACCTTGGACTTAGTGTGAAAATCAATCATTTTAAGGCTCTGTAAGGTTACCTATTTAATCATTTATTATTGATCGGAAATTGTTTTTTGTCAAACTTTGGAGGTATTATTTTTGTGTATAGGTGCAGATATTGGACCAATGAAGACCGACAATTGACCACTGCCTGTCTAGTCCTATAAATTTGGATTCTTTATGAATCATATTTTGATAATTTCAAAATCAGATACTGTTACCTTCATTTGCGAAGAACCAAGATCACATGAACTATATTCCTAAT